GTCACTTTCGTCTACTGTCGGAGACACCTGACCATTCTAAGGATTCTGTAGGAGTGGAGTGACACTTGAATGTAGTAAGGGGTATATAAAAAAAGGGTCTGGGGTTCAGTACTAATTAGGGAAAGCACCGTTTCTAGGTCAACGGTTATGCAAGGTGATTTGACCGAGATGACGCTCAACCGCCAGGTTTCCCTCCTTAATTAATTATTTAATTAAGGGTACCCACTTTATAGAGGCTGGGTGTGCCCCAGGAGAGTCTCCCGACCCAGGGTCGCCCCACAGCCAATGAAACAGATAAATAAATTTTCTGCCATGAGCTGGGGTTCGAACCTGGGACCTTTGCATTGGAAGCTTAGTGCTCTACCACTGAGCTACCCCGCTCCCTTTGCATTTTTTAAATATATCTAAAATGTATGAGATTTTTTTTTTACAAGAACATCAATTACCCTTTTTTTTATTTTATATTATTTGGTTTGCCTAGAATATTTTTAAAAGTATGCTTCCAATTCCGGTGTTATCTTCTTCTTTAGCCGATGAAATTAGTCCAATTAGATTAGGTTATTCCTCCAGGGAACTGATCGGCCTTATTTAGCCTGATAAGGTTTGGTATAGTGGACAATGATAAATTGTCTAAAACTTGGCTAGCTATTTCAGCTATACTATTGGTTCCATGCTATACACAATCAGGTAAAGGCATTATCACATTAAATTTGTATCATTAATATCACTTTTTAACGTCTTATTGAAATATATATACCAAAGTGGTACTTGTGCTCATTAAGCAGTTATACTAATTATGTAGCTTTCGGGGGTACAAGCTGACCTAGTGGCTTAATGTTATCCAGCACAGGCGGATCGACGGGGGGAGGGAGGCTTTCGTGCTGAAGTTCCTTCCCCAAAATGGTAAAATATAACAATGTTTTATGAAAAAAATTATCACTAAAAGTATTATTGTTCGTTTAATTAAATGTAACAGGACTTAAAGAACCAATTAAACACCGTTTCATATACGTAGTTAGTTTCTTTCTTCCGATGTAGTAATTATCTTAATATATACATCCAAAAAAAAAAAACTTTCGGGCTGAAGGCCCCTTCCTCAAATTAAATCCTGGATCCGTTAGTTATCCAGTAACCGTCTGTTACTGTAGAAGTTACCGAAAAGTTTTGGATGTCGTTCCACGCAAATATTTTAAATGGTTCCGTGTGTTTGTGAATATAAAATGCAAATCTTAGAAATTTATATCGAAAAGTGGTTTAAGAATAAATAAATTCACCATTATTATTGTGTGTGTGTTTTTTTTTTTTTTTTTGTTCTTCCCTACCTCGCCTTTTAGGCTATACGGGATTTTCCCGGGCCGGGGGGTGAGGGCGGGGAATTTAAAATCCCCTCCGGCACCGGGACGCGAACTTGTACTTTTTAAATCTTCTCAAATCTGTAATCCGGTTGCCAGGCAACTCGCGGTGCTATGCACACGCTTTAGCCCATTCGGCCACCCCGTCCCCATTGTAGGTGTGTCATTGTGCAAATGATAATAGATAACCTTAAAGTTATCTCGTAATATTCCTCAGTCTATGATCAATTTCTTTTATCTCACTGTATCCCAGGGCAGCAAGGGATTCTGCTTGAGGACGTTTTTATAGGTTAATAGTCTAAGAGCGGATACCAGTTTGATTTTGTTTTTCCTAGATTTTCCATCGTGTAAAATAAATATGAATGTTTAAGATAATATGACATTGGCACTGCATTGTTCATTAATCAGTGTTTCATGCTTAACAGAAATTTCAAATCAGCATATCCTATATATTATTTCTAAAAGGAATTTTTTGTCAGTACGCCATAACTTCGTCAATTCTTCATCAAATCCAATAGTCAATCATTGGATTGGCGACAAAAAATCGGACAATTATTAACAAAGATACAGTCCACTAGTTTTGGTATGCTTAATAATGTCTTCCTGTTTAAAGATATTGCATTTAGGAGTAGAATAATCTACTAAAAATTTTTTCCTGGCTGATATATTAACTTTATTATTTCTTAAAGACATTTGGTTTTTCTAACATTTTATTTTTTTTAATAATTTAGAAAATCCCATGATCGGGGTATTATTTAGTCTTCATTACTTTCATCATCTTTCCAGTCAGCGTTTAAAAATAGGTCCTAGAAAAGCAATTTGTACAAATATTTGTGTCTAATATTTTTAATGGAATATTGTAATCGACCAAGAAAAAATGTTAATTCCTTCCTTACATAATACATAGGAACTACTTATTTCCATATTGTTTTGCTATTTCTCCACTAAACAAAATTATCTGCAAATTATTCGCATGGGCCAACTAGTAATTAATATTTTCAAGGAAACACGATTATATTTATTATTAACCATTTATTAGATATTTTATAACAAATTTATCTATCTTATCCCCATCATTGCAATCCTGGAAAAACTCATATTAATACGCTAATATTCCATCCTAGATTCTAATCACATCTTCAGTTTGAGTTCCCACTCCAATATCCAACTGTTTTTTGGTGGACGTTGTCTCCTCTGCATTGAAACGCGGAATGTCCTGCACGGGAGTTTTTCTCGACGTTGAGCAGGCTGTTGATCGAATGGCACCGGTATTGGTTTCCTAACTCTGTAATTACAAATTCTTTCTTATTATACGTTCCTATCTCACTGATAGATTATGCAAAGTAAACCTCAATAATGCTTATTCATACCTCTTTCCTCAGTCTGCAGATTTTTCTCAAGATACTGTCCTCGGTTACATCCTGTAAAAAGCTTATATAGCTGAAATCCGAACCCATCCTAACTAGCTATGCAGATAACTCATATTTTCTGTCTGTTAATTATGATCGATTAATTACATCCCAAACTCTCCAATCACATATTACAAACCTTAAAAAATAACTGTCTGAAAACTAGACAGTTAAAATAAATCACATCCAATCAACCACCTTCACCTTCGTCGTAAACCTATAACTTTCCATCCTACAGTATCCTGTAATAATATTCCATTTATCCCTGTTGAACAGATTTGCTATGTCGGACTTCACCTGGAAAGATATCTTACTTGGGATCCTCATACAAGATTGAAACGACAAGAAACTGCTTGACGTTTCCGGCGACGTTACTTCAGCACAAACGCTTTGGACAAACGCTACAAGCTTAACTTGGAACTTAACTTTGGGGCTCAACCGAACAATCGAATACTTCAATCTAATTCGTAAAATCGTTAATATTCTATTTGTACCCGATTTAACCCGATTCGAATACCTTTAATCATTACAAACTCTTGAACCATCTGAACCCACTTTTTTCTAACCCTGCTTCCGCTTCTGGTAATCCTTCTAGGCGTCTATTTTAGAGTATTAAAGATAAATAAGGAATACTGATACATAAAGGCTTTATTTATAGGCTGAATTCAACACACAGGAATAAGATTAACTAAATTAATAAGCTTTAGCAACTAACTTATGTTTTTAGCAACACTTGATAACTAGATCTTAATATATCATATATCGGCATCTGAAAAGAAGATGGGCTCGGTATCTTTTAATTTAGAACTGTTATTGGAGCCTGGTTTCTCTACGAGTGTGATCATGCCATTATTCTTATTTTATTAACATTAACTTGCATTATTAGTTTTAGTACAGCTTTATCGATTAATATCAATAAATATAATACAAAATATTTTTCAATTGTTTTTATTTTAAAATTGTATTCCATTTGCACCTGCACTTGATTAGCTTTATTTGGTTATTATTGTTGGAGTAGGTTCCTCGACCATTTTCTTTTTAATCTGACTCGATCAGGTAATAGGGAGCAGGAAATAGAAAGGATATAATGGAGTGTATTTGTCGTGAATGTAGGATTTAATTTTGTGGCATGTTTATTTCGTTATGTAAAGTGTTATTTGAAATGTACCAAGGTGCGTTGACAAGTTTTCGTAGAATTTTTCGTAGTATTTTTTATTGTGTTTGTATTTTATTTATGTGTATTTGTTTTGCCGAATTCTTAAGTTCTGCTCCGTATGTCCAAATTGGTCTCAGTTTAGTGTTATAGATTCAGTCCATTGTTTCGTATGTTAAGTGAGGATCTGTAGTATAGAGAATGTGAGAGTTGGTTATATCGTCCAGTCAGTTCTTTTCTTTTTAATTTAGTATTTATGTTCGAGGTAAATCTTTTGTCTCATTAGAGTCCCAGGTGCCGTAAATAGTTTTTTTGTAGGCACTGGGTTATTGTTAATCGATATAAGGCTTTCCTAAGAGTGAAAGTCACGTTGGTGGATTTCTTACTATTTATTTTAATTTTTCATTTTTGAGACCATTTTTTATGATCTTTGAGGTGGGTTTGAGGGACAAATGATTTGATAGTAGGTTTTTTTGTGGGAAGAAAGAATTGCAGTGTCGTCAGGTAAGCAATAGATGGTGGTGCTGGAGTGCAGAGAGATATAGGTGTATAGCGTTTATTTGTTTTGTTTTTTTCAATGGTTTATCTTAATGTTGTGGTACAAATTTAAGAATTGAAATTGGAATTCGCCACTTCACTATCAAATCCACTTCCTTATGACACCTCGTTTGTCAAAATTCATCGCTCCAGAGAGCCGGACAAGTTATCTTTACTACCGTATTATATATAGCTTAGATGAGATAAACAAATGACCATTCTGTTCAAAATGAAAATGGACAACCTGTTTTGTCATTAATAAATTAGCTTTCAACTCTTCCATTCTGTTGTTTATCACGAACGTCTTCAAGTTCTTAAGTTGTTTTTCTTCTTTCTTTCCTTTTTTTTTTTTAATTTTAATCGTGCACTCGTTATTTTATACAACAGGATTTAAAGGAAGCGACCTCGATAAAATTAAACTAAGCTTTACCTGCTACCGAAAAATAAATATTCAAAAGGCTTAAGGCAGAGGCGGACGGTGTGAGGTGGGGAGAGCGTGGAGCTCGGGAAGCACCAAGGACAGCTAGTCGTGGAGTGGTGAGCTTGTAGTCAGTGTCGGTCATGTGAGTCCGTTCTTCTTCCTCGGCCAATGTTCCACGTCTTTCGCCTCCTCAGGCATCTCCTCTTCCCCCTTCGTCGGAAGACCAGGACGATCCTTCGGCAATGCAGAAGGAAGGTATCCTTCTTGTCCACACTACTGTATAATTCTATATCATAATGATGTCTTGTATCCTGGATTTATCAGCATTCATCTGAGTAATATGTGTATCGCTGATGTCTCAAAATATATGTTTATTAAAATGTACCGTAAAATGAAACAATTTTCTTAGCCGACTAGAAGTGATAAAGGTTATAAATCCCACGTGTTGATGAAATAATAACATTCCATTTCGATCTTCATAATTTAAATTAATTTATTTTCATTATCTCTTCATTACTTCTAATTATCTATAATATTGAGTTTGTTATTTAAGAGTTAAAGTCGCGTTAGAACTTTAGAAGGAAGTAAAAGTAACAAAGAGACACGATGGGTCAACGTGAACTGGTTTAGCTCTCTCATGTGGGCCGTTCTGGGTCGCCCTTACCGAAGACACTCTTTTGTTTCTCCAGCAGTCTTCCAGGTCGACGTATTCCGCCCGTTATCAGTTCCTCGATGACGCACCACTGTGGGAACCTTCTTCCACCTCGTGCCTCGGGACATTCCTCATTGCGGAATAAATTTCACGGAATGACGTCCATGATTATTCCATGAAGATTACTATAACAATAGAAAAGACATCTGTTCCGTTTTAGGAGTTCAGATTGTTTCAGGAATTTTTACTGATAATACAAAACAAACTGTTGTTTCTATTTCTTCGTTTTCTAAGTAAAAGTATTGTTTTAATATCTACATGAGCTGAAATTTTTTTTTTTCTTGCTAGAAATGATGTGGTGAAATTGTTTAAAATAAGCTGAACATTGTATGTATCTGCTCGTAATTGACTATGCAAATTTTTATCTCACAAAAGTTATGCGCTTTTTTATCTTCATTTTTGAAACATAAAATTTTACATATTTAACTTCATTTCATATATTTATTCATTTACCTAATTAAATAGTGATTTTTTAAAAATGTGCTGTATCTATATCGTTGGGTTGAATACTATAAATTACCTTTATTTATATTAATATAATTTAAGTTTATTTACCGATAAAATCAAGTATTTTAAAATAAAATGATGAAAATAACAGGAAGGTTAGTATTGAAAATAAAATAAGAAATCTAAAGATGAATGTAGTATGGATATCTCGAAATAAAAACATGACGGTGAATTTCTTTTTGTTTTTGCTTAGTTTAAACATAAAAATATATTTTAAACAGGACATTAAGAAAAATAAATAAAAGATAAACTAAGATGACATTGAAATGAAAGAAGAGCCCATGTGAGATGTGAGAAAGTGACATATGTATTATATCATTGTTGAAGAGGCCAACGTCCTCGATGGGTTACGACGATCATGTCAAAAGAAGACTATGTCGCCTCTGCTATTTTAAATTGGGGGTAGCTACTAATGTATCTTCAAAGAGAGACTTCAACCTAACAACTTTTTAAATTTCCTTGGCACTCTTAGCCATATTTCTCGGTTTGCTAGCAGATGGATGGTTATTAAACCATCTTGATTTCATTTAGTTGCCCATTTTTATAATACTAACTCTTGGGAGGGAGGAGAGGAATTGATACTGAGGAATTGAGGAATTGATGGGTTTCATGCGTGCATAATGGGGTTGTTATTAGTACAATTCTATTTTACGTAATTGGTATATACAAAGTATCTTTTTTGAACCCGTGTGTTTACAATCTAGAAGACACAGAAACGAATTTAATACTATAATTAATAATTTTTATTGCTAGTATAATGTTTACAAGATAGTGATATATACTCAAGTATCACACACCAATCGTATTTCATCACCTATATTCACAGGTTTTTCCTGATGAACAATTTTCTTTCAGTTATTATTCCTTTCTAATTTTATTCTTTAAACTTTATGTAAGAACCCATTTCTGACAAGAACAATTTTTTTTTTATCCATAATAAAATTTTTTTGGATTTGTTCATTAAGTTCATATTTTATCACTTATGTTTTGCTATAGTTTTTTAGTAACAGGCAGATTGGTTTGATATCGTTACTTAGTTATTTTATTGATATTTTTTATGTAATATTACAAAAAACGTTTAGTTTTAAAAATGTCAAATAATTATTAATAAAGAATAAATTAAAGAAATTTAGCCAGGAGCTTAACATTTTTTTTTAATAAATAAATAAAAAATTGATAATAAAAAAGCAAACTACCATATGAAGTTGTTTTCTTCATCGTTTATTGGCATAACACGCTTTCAATTACTCTGACGACTTCCTATATTTTTCAAAAATATCCTATAATTGAGTTTCGTTTATAAGGCTCATATTGTGATACTTGTTCATTATTCTATGGCAACCTCATTGACCCATGGATATATTTAGATTCTTATATAACTTATCATTGGAGGCGTAAAATAGTTCATTTGATGGCAGCCTTTATTGTTTGATAATGAAGCATGAATTATCTGAATTATATATATATATATATATATATATATATATATATATATATATATATATATATATATATATATATATAATATGTATTAATACATATATAATATATGTATATATAGTACCAACACTACCAACACAGATATGTGTGAACGATCTCTTCTCCTTTCCCTTCTATTTGACCTTGACATATAATCATTATTCCGTACTGTATTTTAAACGGCGCCATTTTCCTCTTGGATTAAATTTATTGAAAACAACCAGTTCTTTTTCTTTTCTTGTTTTTTAACTATTTTCCCTTAACACTTAAAGACAACTGGTGTTGACAGTAGAGTAATGTTGAATACACACCGACGCGTACTTTCGAAGGATCCCCAACCGAATTCATTTCAGTAGATTCCCCTGATATCTCGACAAAAAATATAAAACACGAATGCTCCTCTCTCTTTCCCTCCCCTCTCCCCCCCCCTCATAGATTATGCCTGTGCAGTCACCTAATTTTGTCTAGCTGTTTGTCTTGATCAAAATAATTTTCTCAGAGACCGTTAAAAATGCATTTGGTCTGTAGTTCCTCAAAGGTACATTATAGATAGTGTTGCCCAAAATCGGTCTTTGCACTTTGCAAGTCCTAAACCAAGACCGCCTGACTGTTGCAAGACCAAGACCAAGACTGGTAAAAAAAAATCGTTTTCGTGGATAAAAATAAAAGCAAAATAGTGACTAATAGTTGACAATTTTAATTACTATTTGTAAAGAATTGGTATAACCAATATAATTTTGCATTTAACCCTTCCAATTTTTCATTTGGGCTTAGTTATGTTTCTTCTATCTGAAAAATTACAGTAATATCTGTATAGTAATAGGCTAATAGGTAACTGCAAAACTATTGCAGGACTCTTGTGCAAGACCAAGACTTGTCTTGGTCTCGCATTTGGGCAACACTAATTATAGATTCTTTTAGGGTCGTACATAGTCCGAGGTACCTTTTTATCGAATTATTAACATCCGCCCAAAACTTCATAAATATTTTCATCTCATCATAATCTACAACTATTTTATTTACGAAAACTCATGGAATTGGTGCGTTTTCAATCTAGATGGGGGCAAACTTTTTCTATTTAATGAGGCACTAAAACTCGTAAACACAAATTTGCTTTCTACTTGGATCGTAAGATAATTTAATCTCTAAATCAAGAAAAAAGGCTTCCTTCAAAAATATTGAGCCGTTTAGCGTGATCTACTCCCTCCAGTTTTTCAAAATAACGTGGTTATATATGACAAACAGCCCAATATTTTTGTAGATCATCTTTTTTATTTATTTTGTGATCAAATTATCTTACGATCCATGTCGAAAGCAAATGTGTATTTACGAGTTTTTAGTACCTAATTAAATAAACAAAGTTTGCACCCCTCCACATTGATAAATCTCCAATTCCAAGAGTTTTCGTAAATAACATAGTTGTAATCGAATTCCTCTCGTATCTAATCCTTACAATCCAAAATCCTTCGTAAAATCCTCAACGCTCCTTACTTTGTCACAAATAAAACATCCATAAAGACCTTACTGTTCCATATGTTTCCGATTTGGCCCAATCCAGATACCTACCCTTCCATGACAAACTGCAGAACCATCCGAATCCTCTCGCTTCAAATCTTGCTTTCTCCTCGACCCCTGATAACCCTCCAAGGCGTCTGAAAAGAAGATGGCCTCGGGACCTTCTAATATAGAACTTTAATTTGAGTTCTACCAATGGGTAGTTTCTCTTCATGTTGTACATGTCCTGTTACCAATGTCACATTTACTTGTTGTATTTTCCATGTAATACAGTTGTAAATTTCATTAAAATAAAAGAAAATAAAAATAGTTGTAGGTTACTATGAGATGAAACTATTTACGAAGATTCAGGCGGATGTTAATAATTCGATAAAAAGGGGTCTGTGCCACGAACTAACAGACTAATGCCTAAATGTCTTTTATTTGGACATATGATTTAATTGGAATATTAAACGTTTAAATAATTAAAATGTTGGTTATATTAGAACAATATTTGTTTTCCTTATAGATGAACCTGCGGAAATGCAGAAGGAAATAGTTTATTTTAAAGATTATCTGTTGTTTTTTTCCTGTGTTGATGGATAATAACATAATTCCACAATAAAAAACAAGTCTATTAACTCCATGAGATTAGTGTTATGCTTGAGATAAATGCAATGTGATTTTTATAAATCCATTTCACCACACTTCCTGATTAGAGTACAGAAAATTTGTTAGTGAGCCGTAATTGCTATACTATGTTATCGTCTCTACTAACCAAGCGAAATCATCTACCTTGAAATAGTTTTCTTCTGATTGTGTTTTCTGAAATGTTTAGAAAAACGCTACGCAGCCAAGAACCTTGGTTTAATAACCTGCGAAAGTCATACTTGACAACAGAAATGAAGTTGTTACTTTACAGTAACTGTGTGTAGCTTGTTCTTTGAGTGTACAAACGACCATTTGTTAGCATTTTTCTAAAACAGACACTCTTTATATGGGCCAAATAAATCCAGGCAATCATATCTGAATAATGAAATTGTTTTAATAGACCGATTTAATCTTATTATAATTTGGTCTGAAATTATACGTCTGTGTACAATTTTTATAATAATACATTCGTGTTTAGTTCAAAGGATCTTCAGTTGTTGCCAACTCGTTTTTTAATAAAGGAATGTAATCAATTTGTATGTATTCATTTACATATGTTTGATTCTTTATATCCGTCAAACCGTATTCCCTAGTACAGACTCCCTTTTATCAAATAATTAACATCCTCCTAAAACTTCGTGAATAGCTTTATTTCATAACAACCTTTTTAGTTTCGAAAATTCTTGGAATTGGGGCGTTTTCAATCTGTGGATCGACATCTCAGTCTATTTGAAACTTTTAACACCCATTTGCTTCGCAATTGAATCGTAAGATGATTTGATTAATACATCGAGAATAAAGGCGACCTTCAAAAATATTGGGCCGTTGGGCGTGACCTCTACTCCCAACATGTCAAAATAACAAGATTCCATAGGTCAAACGCCGCTTTTTCGTAGGCCACCTTTTTTCTCTCGAATTTATGATCATCTTACGATTC